TTTTTTTTTCCACATTCTGTCTCTCACAGTTGAAGTGTACCTCTGGTGCAAATTGCTGACCTCTGTCATCATTTTAAGTGGGGGAACTTGCACAATTGGTGGCTGACTAAATACTTTTTTGCCCCACTGTATGTTAAGGACCAAAAAGCTATTCAGAAAGTGATCCGTACAGCAGAACGCTGCTGCAGGGCTGGCCTCCCCTCCCTACAGAACATTTACACCAGGAGATGCTGGACTAGAGCAGCTCAGATACTGAAGGACCTGTCCCATCCCAGCAATACACTGTTCCAACTTCTGCAATCATCTGAGCCCTGAGTCTCAGGCCATCCCCCCCCATTCACAACGGCACAAGACACTTTAACACACCATTTAGAAAATGTACATTCTCAGATTTGAATGTAAATTTCCAGATTGTTTTATTTTATTTATATAATATATATAACTCACTCACTTATTGCATATAATGTCATCTTTGTATATATTCACTCCCAGTATATAATGTTCTCTCTCTCTTGTTTTTTTGCACAGTCGAGCGTATCATGTTACATTTCACTGCGTGTTGTACTTCTATAACTATGCAGGTGACAAATAAACAATCTTGAAATGCACTGGTTCTTATACAGCTCTTCTACACTCTGTGCATTCAGAGCACTTTATACAACATGCCACAACTTTAACACTCTGATGGTTGCATCAGAGAGAACTTTGGGTTTAGTATCTTGTCCAGTACATTTACCAGCCAAGGTTTGATCCACCAACCTTCTGATTAGTAACTGACCTGCTCCCCTCCTGAGCTACAGGCACCCCCAAATGGACTGAAATCATGGAACCAAAAATCTGATTCATATTGGACACAATGACAATCCACTGGTCTACAAAGTGCAGCATAGAGGTGACCGAAAAAAAAAAACACATGTAAAAGTAGTAGTACAGACCATAAACACAGAGTCCAGGTGTGTTTGACGCTGCTGTGCAGACTGACCAGTGGAAACCTCTGCTCTCTCCTGGTCCACTCTGTGGAGGAGTAGTGTATAATTAGGTCATGTTATGTCTGTCCACACACAGACGCAAGGTCCATGAAGTGATTTTTTGATGGGTTCAGTGAATACGATGACTCCCTGCAATGGTGAAGCTTTGCTAGTCCTGGTGATCTCACTGAAAATTAAAAACTCAGTTTTCAGATGTCTGTAGCTTTCCGCTCAGTTTTTTTTAGTCCCAACAGCTCTTACCATCTCGTGCATTAAGCTTTCCCTCCATGCTTAGATGCCCTGGAGCAAGGTACTCTCTTTGCACCAGTGACTGGTTTGAAGTGACAACTTTCTGACTTTTTAGCCTCCAGGGGTCCAGAGTCGACTGCGGATTGAAACTCAGACTCTGGGGAGGCCCTGGAGAGAGTTACTGTCTCTAAACGGGCCAGCTTTTGAGGAACGATTACATTATTTATGGGTTTGTCTCTCTACTTACAATGGACGAATGAAAAACAATTCCCTTTGGATAGAATTGATTTAGCTTGTCGTACTGGAGGAGCAGGTGACACAGGTCACCGGGCTAGTGGCTGCTGAAATAGAGGCTGAACTAAGGGCAACTGAAGTAAAGGTTGAAATGACAACTGTGGTGGAGTTGGAGACTGAGCTTGAGGCCGGGCGGCTAACTGAGCTTGAGGCCGGGCGGCTAACTGAGCTTGAGGCCGGGCGGCTAACTGAGCTTGAGGCCGGGCGGCT